TTATTATTATTATTATTATTATTATTATTATTATTATTATATAGAGCAGTTAAACAACACCAACACCACCTCAGGGAGCCCTGGGACATATTTAAAAAATGGATTAGGAAATTCATGGGGTGGGGACAGGCAGAAAAAGAGTACTCTGGAGTGTTTGGAAGGCCACTAAATTAGCCTTGGGGGCCAAAGGTACATTTTGCATCCTCTGCAATAGATGTGAATTGTGTGGTTGTTCTAACTGATTTATGTTTAGCTCTTACTCAAAGGTTAGTAGTATAGACGTTAGCAGCAACACATGGCTCATCCCAGTGGCATCACTAGGGTTTGCATCACCCAGTGAGGTAACTAATGGTTTACACACACACCCCATTGACCTCCTCTTATACCACACCATACAAAATCCTTAGTAATCTTTGTACTAATGTTACTCATACATCATAATTCCTGTATATCACTGACTGTAATGCTAATACACTCATCCCTCCCCATTCGCGGACTTGGAGTCCGCAGTCTAGCTCCGTCGCGGCCGGTAAGCGCAGAAGGACAAAATGGTGTGCGTAGGAATGCGCACCCATTTTAACCAATGGGCTCTGAATATTTGCATTTTTTCCAATTCACGGATGGTGGGAGTCTGGAACGGATCCCCCGCAAATCAGGAGGGATGACTGTAGTTGTGACATAAACAACTAGCATAATTAAAATTATACTTTTAAATATCATATGCACAGCATAAATGTATTCACATATACATAGGGGGGAAGCGCACGAGTGCTTCCAGGACGCTGCCGGACGGAGTGCCGCGGGACCGCAGCCTCCGCACCGCGGCGCTCCTGCGGTGTCCCTAAAAGGAGCCCCAAATTGGCGCTCCTTTTACAAGACAGGGAAAGTGCGCCCTAAACGCGTAGGGCGCACTTTCCCTGTCTTTTCCGTCGCAGCATGTCCGGATGCTGCAGCGGGAGGTTGCCCCCGGAGCGCCGGCCGTGCGGAGGGCCGGCAGCTCCGAGGGCAACCTCAGGAAGAGGAAGGGGCGCCGTTCATGCGGCTGCCCCTCCTCTTCCCTGCCTCCAAGACGACTCTTTTAGTCATCTGCTGAGGCCCATAGTTTCATGTGATTAAAGTTAAAAAATGGTAACATCTGACTTTAAAAAGTTTTTAAAAAATTAATTTGAGATTTTATTTTAAAATATATATAAAAATATGGGGCCTCTCCTTTCTCCTCCCACTGAGCCTCAACCCACTTACACCATCTCTTCAGCATTTTAATGGGACACAGGTGAACACCACAACCTGTTTCTGCCTAAAGTCGGGTGTTTTAGGATCAATGGAGTCACCCCACCTTAGGGTGTCATCTAGTGTAGTCTGCACCTCTGCACCCTCTTAGTGATGCTAATGGCGTACCGCAAATTGTTTTTCACTTTTTAAAAGGGAAGGTTTCCTGGAAATGCAATTTCCCATGAAAATCTGCACATCCACCCCCATCTTTTTTAACTGTTTCATGAAGCTGGGACTGGGTTTCTGTCCACTTTCAATCTCATGGGGTGGAGTGGGTTTTGCAGGTTCCAGCAAAGGAGAAAAATGTCCAAGGTGGCAGCATGTTGCAGGGCAGGGAAATTGGCTTGTTCCCACCTCTAAAAGTGAACATTTTGAATTATGGAAACAAAGTGGATGAATCTTGCCCTTAGGACACATCCAGATAAATACAGCCAAACAAATGTTAAAGCCCCATGCTGGCCCTTTCTGACTGCAGCTGCTGAGAAATTGTTTAACATGTTGACTATCTGTCCTAGGCAATTAGGTTTTTCTTCTTCTTTTCAGTGTATCTGCAACCGAAAGAACAAACACCCACCAGGCTTTTAAATCAGCAGAAGCCAGGTGACTGTATGCTGAATGGATATAGAAGGAAAAGTAGTCTCAGCAATGTGCAACTGTGCAAATGGGTGGGTAGGTGGAGAAGAATCCATAGTTTGAGAATTGGAGGATTAGGAAGCATGCATTTGTTCTGAGGCAAAACTGGCAGCAATTCCAGGCCTCCCTAAGACTTCATTTGGTACTGAAAATTGGTACACCCCTCTGTTGTAAGATAAGCTTGATTGGTAGCAAATGATGCAGGATGTGCTCTAGAGCCAATAAAACATTCCAGTAGTTGATGGCTTCCATTTTAGTTGAACCCCTTCCAGAAAGTGGTAGAATGCCCCCTATGCAACTAAATCTACCCTGACTATCCTAAGATTGACTAAAGACGGTCCCTGAGTTGGGGTTCACCCCCAGTTTAGGCGAGGGCCATGGAAGAGGCATTCCTAAAGATTATATAATGCAAAAGTGAACAATGGAAATTAAGGCGCACAGGCCTTGATACGTCTCACATCTTAACAGCTATGAAAACTCGCCACGCAGGTTGAAAAGTTTGTTCCATTCTTAGCTGCGCATCTTTTCCTAGTCTTACACTGTTAAACGAAAGTGAAACTTTTTGTGCCACTGGACAGCTATCAGCGTTTAGTCATGATGCTAACAAGGAGAGCATCTGCACTGTAGAAATAAGACAGTTTGACACCACTTTGACTCCATCCTACAGAATCCTGGGTAGCGTGGTACAGTAGTTTGAGTGCTGGACTATGACTCTGGAGACAAAGGTTCAATTCCCAGCTCAGCCATGAAACCTACTGGGTGACCTTGGGCAAGTCACATGCTCTCAGCCTCAGGGGAAGGCAATGGTAAACCTCCTCTGAACAACTCTTGCCAAGAAAACCTCATTATAGAGTCAGCATAAGTCAGAAATGACTTGAAGGCACCCAGCAACAACAAGCGGCACCAGCACTCTTAGGAGTTTATCACACGGGGGAAATCCTATGCAGAAACGGGATTTAAAAGGTGAGGGAAACCTGCAAAAGCGGGCAGATTTTCACACACATCACTGTTAAAATGGGGTTAACCCGAACGGAAAGTAGTCAGAAACTGCTTCTTTTTACTTTTGGGATTTTCCGAAAGTAAAAAGAAGCAGTTTCTGACTACTTTCCATTCGGGTTAACCCCATTTTAACACCAACGTCATCTGAAAATCTAACCGCTTTTGCTTTTTTCCCCCAATTTAAAGCCCCG